CCCCGTACCAAAGTGAAAGTTAAAGACTCAAAACAGGCAAACTAAATTTTTAGGAAAACAAATTATTTACGCACTTGATCAAGTATGTTACAGTCAGCACCAGCACAGTTCGCGTGCCAGTGCCAGACTACAAGGGCATTCCCTGCACGACCCCTAAATGAGAATTCCTGCCGGTCTATGCCGTAAAGCAAGTCGGAACCCTACTTATTTTATTCTCTTTTTTGAATCTCGATTCAAGCTAAATGTAATTACCAGTGTTTTAAAACTGCACCACCCGCAGATGCAATCAGTTCATGTTTCTAGCAGTTCTGGAAAATTCGCTAAACAATTATATATATTTTTAGCATTTTAAAAGTGCTAACTTTAATAGTTATTTAAAAAACATCAAGGACTACCAAAAACCACATTTCCTGGATCTAAACTTTCTGGCTTGTTTTGAGAAGCTTGTGAAAAAACCGACTGTAAGCTCATGGTTTTTCACTTTACATCACGTCGCTTTGATGAAAAACGGAACGGTCAACCTTGTTCGGTGTTGTTTGTCTGTCACAATACCTTTTTGTAGTCTCGTGTGTCTGGCGTTACTCCATACATGGAGGGTGTTTAATTCTACATAACGAAAGGGATCACCTACTTGAATTCCAGATAATCAGTAAAAACCATGGTTCCCATTTCTCTTCTTACTACCCACCTAAAATGATGGTCCAAAGTATTATACTGGGATTTTAGTGTCGTTGTCCTACATGGTAACGCAGCCTGCACAATAACGAGTTTGTTGTGAGCAGTTTAGTTTCCAGTCTCCTGCGGCCGTATTTCGGCGGCCCCGTTAAAAGCACAACAGTGGAGTACTCTTCCTCTAGCTCGGCAACTGTCCTATGTAGAAAGGGCAATCAGGTAGGACACGTTCTGGATATCTTTATCATAAGTGGTTCTTACCTCCAAGTTTTTTTATTAAGGTAAAATCAGTTGCGCGCAATTTGCGATGCCATGCAAGGGCATTGATTTGTCGTGGCAATTGATTCATCGTAGGTTTTAAATTACTTGACTAAGTTATATGTGCGTTACTGTTCTGTCTTTATCCTTGTTCCTTGCTCAGATTTGACACGTATGTTCCTCGTTTTGGACCAATATATTTCTAGAAATCATAAGGCCCTGTATGTTATAGACTTTGAAACTTCGGCTTTGGAGCATGAAGCATCAATGGCAGCATTATTAAAGAATCACTAAGCGATAGGTGGGCATTGTATCCTGACGCATCGAGCAGGCTGGACGTTTTTGAACGTGGTGTATTACAGAATTCCTAGACGTTCGGCGTTAGGTTTATTTATGTCGTCAAGCAGTAGTTTCCGTCATGCAGATTCCGTGAAAAACATACAGAACACTTAGTAATGACTTCACTAATTATAAAACCTTGCCATTCTTTACGGCAGCAGTATTAATTGATCATTGATTCATATCTATCTTTTAATTGTAATCAACAGTTCCAAGCACTGTATGAAGACTTCTAATGTGGTGGATTAAGGGCCAGCTATCCAAGCCCAGGTCAGATATGCTTTGTATTTTATTATCACTAGAAAACACTACTTGTATTTATGTCGAGTACATAAGGAGTCTTACAGAATACTTAGCACAGTAATATGGGGTCGTGCACGTTTACAAACTTATATGCCTCGATGTCATCATAATATTCTTTTACACAGAGGTTCAAAGCTAAATAGTGACACTTTTATCAACATATATATTTACTGGAGTAAATATGTAAATATTTATGGTAATACTATTGAATTAATATTTTTCATTTGTCAACAACTAACTTAGAATACTAAATTTGTAAACTAGAAATATATGACTGCTTCATTCTTTTACTCTTACTCTTCAAACTGACTATGGTTATAACCTGTGTAAATGTGAACTACTTGTAACTTTTGTTACAATCAGTTCAGAGATGATACCGGGCTCATCTATAATAATAATGTTGCTTGTCAATAATGTGTAATTATTGTTTGAATCCATCACCAACAGTTACATAGATGTGGTAATAAAGGTTGAATAATTTGAGCACCACAATAATGTAAAGGTTATAAATGTATTGATGGTTTTCACAGCCACAATGTTGGATGGAATTAACAAAAGATTTGTGATTAGTCTCTTTTGTTATATCATCCAACATGGCTACCGTGTCTTGTGTTATTTCATTCTCTTGGAATGATTGCAAATCAGCAATATAAAGAGTGAGTTTTACATTAATTATTAATTATTTTATTCCATTTCATAAGAAATGCTTTTTTTAAAATTGCTTTTAACAATCAAAAAAGTTTCATAACTACGGTAGTTTCATTAATATGTCTTACAAAGTTTGATTAAATTAAAGCACTCAATCAAATGGGTAATCGTCAAAGTCAAAACAATTGTGGTACTATGTTGGAAGCTCCACAACAACAAGTTTTATAATGCATAATACAAAATATAAGAATTCCCACTAGTAAACACAAAACTATTAAGTTCTGGACTGATTAGCCTCTCCTACATGTAAAAAAACTTTGTATTTTCATGTGAACACCAGGTGCTAGTCAGTCCTGAACAATGATAATTTAAATTTGATGCTTTGTTTGCATTTGTTCCTTTTATGTGATGTGGCTAGAAAATAACCATCCAGACTTGTCTTTTAAAGTGATATACGGAGTGTTTATAAAATAATTGTCAGTCCAGCCCATACTTTAATGATTTATAAGAAACTGCACCACAAAAAACTTACCATTAATCATCACTGTGAACTGTCACTACTATATACAACTATTTCAAAAAAGGTTGAATACTGAATACTGCATACTGAAAAGTGCATTCCAAGACTGAAGTGCATTGTGGATCATAGTGACATTGTCTAAAATAGGATTAATAATTATTATTTATTCTATTTTTATTGTATTCCATCTGAAACAATATACTAACTACAWGTAGAGAGTTAATTGCTGTATATTTACTTTTTATTTCAAATTAACGAGACCCACAATACCCTTTGGTCTTGGTATTCAGTATTCAACCTTTTTTGAAATACGTGCTGTATCAAAGTGTACTGGAAAGGTTTCATATGGGGCTACTCTAACCACCATTTCAACTAATGCTTGACCCTGATTGGGAATTGGACCAAGTATTTCATATATACAGCTGTAAGAAGCTGCATCACTAAATGTACATGTTACCACCATATGTATCCATTTTACTTTTTATCTGAAAGTATTAATTACAAACTTGACATTATCTTAGTCAAATATGAATATTTTAAGTGCACAACTTTTACAAATTGTTCATAAAATTGAATAAAAATTCTGTTGCATATTTTAACAAAGATATTTTTGGAGCAAAATTATGGCATTGGTCCTTAAGTTAGTCTGTGAGCATTATGTGCTATAAGTATTAATACAAGTGTGCTGCTTGTCAACAAAAACTTTTAAAAGAACTTTGACCTCAGTCTAAAATGTAACAATCTTAAACATTTGGTAGGCTTAATGCAATTACAATTGCATTCATCTGCAAAATTATTAATAGGTGGTTTAATTGACTTTAAATTATATGCGCTGAAGCTACACTGGAATCTTTGCCTCAGATTAGAAAAATTTCAATCATTTTCTAATGAATGCAGTTTAAAGTTTGATTAGGACTTTAAAAAAACAGATGTTTGCATTTGCTGCTTTAGTCAGGGTTCAAACCACAGCCCAATGTTCAGCTGTTTTACTTAAACTCCAAAGCTATCAAAATAAATTTTTTGTTGGACAGATCTAATATGAAAAGTCCTCATCTTTCTAATTTAGAAAGAATTTGTAAGCTTTTAATTGGATGCTAGGGTTGATTTAAGACATACCCCTTAATATATATTACTGTAAGTTCTTAAGTTATTGTTGTACAAAAAAGAATGTATGTGCGTCTTCTTATGCACAACCATTAAATAAAGAAATGGTACTCTATGCCCTAGCCAAAATGCTCTATATATCATGTTTTTTGATCAAGGCTGTTAGTCAGCACTAGAACACTGAAATGCATTAGGTTATGTAAACAAGATTTCCATACAGGGTCATACTAAGAAAACAGTCTTTATTTACAGAGATTAGCCTTCATCTACAACGATTGCAATTAATTTACATTTAGAAAAACAGAAGACATACTCTGAATGGAGAACTGTCAAAAGTTATCAACTGAATCAATAAATCATGAGTTAAGCAATCAAGTTAGTACTAATAACTAGTGAATAAGTGATAAGCTTAGTAAACCTCTTAGCTGCTGTAGCATAACCAGCCATTCAATAGGGTATACTTAGAAAGGTTTTTGCATGGGTGGGAAACATGCCATAACATCGAAATGGCTTCCCATGGCTAGTATTTTTCAGTTCGTTTTGCGTGTACATTTTCATATTTTCAAGTCCATTTTCATATTTTCCACCCTTTTTTGACATACATTGACAGGTATTACATACCATACAGAGAGAGAGAACTTTTTTCTTGTAATAATTACTTGAGCATGTGTAAATCCTGTGTGTATTATAACCATATGCATATCATGTTAAACTACCTACTTTATACTACGTGCATGCCTGCCATTATAAGCTTACCAAATAAACCGATTACACAAATAACAAAATTCACAAGTGAGCCTTACTCATAACTTTCCCAACAAAATACACTTAGTTAATGAATGCCATCCCAAATGCTTTACACGTAATAAGAATTCTAAATACTTAAAAAGTCATATAGTGTTCAATTCTTGACGCAAAAATATATCATCTGACCTTTGAATGTTTACGTTAAGTCGGAAGGTGGTGGAGCTTTACTTAGTTTCTTAGTACCTTTTTCCCCTTCACGTACCATGAGCTGTAAAAGAAATGCATTTCATGACGAACAACGGTCTGCTCCTCCCTTTTGCCGACCGCCTATTACCAATACTAGAATCTTAATCATATTTCCTTAATTGGAATTCTGCTCACTTGAATTAGACTCTGATTGCTATTCAAGTACAATTTCGTATCAGAAGTGTCGTGAATATATCAATTTTTGTCTGGTGATGAATGATGTAGTGGTGTAACTGTCTATTTCCATATCTGAAGTAGCAAACGTCATTAAACCGCATATTCTTTTAATCACATACGCCAGCTGCATGCGTACTCCAGAATGTCGTAACACAATTATAACTAAGTTATGACCATAGCAGAACCAATCGAAATCGTGCGCACTAAACAAACAAACGGTTTCTACCTGCTAAGCAGTTGTTTTAGCTTTCTTTCACTTCTCTTCTCGTTGTTATCAATTTATCCTGCAATCTGTTGTTACTTTTTATAGTGACATATTTTTATCTCGACAGCCAGGGGGTCCTTGTAGCTGTTATCCTTGCGATTGCCAATTTCCTCGTTGACTTTGCCTATGGACAGTCCTCAGTAGCTATTCAAGGTAATCATATATACGACTAGGCATTAGTGTTTGCGGGACAACTTGTATAGTTGTATACATGTAGTCTAGTTGTACAAGTCGTATTCTACTGAATAGGTACTATAAATGCTAATTTTATTTCACGACAAAAAAGTGTGTGAGGTGTACAAGTTCGAAAATTGAAGCCCCCTCCTTGTGCATTCGTATCAGTAATAATGCACTCGGGAAAATGTTGCATTAACAACGTATGCGCGCACAACACAGGGTGCGAGAAATGACGTCACCCGAGGTAAGAGTAATGAGAACTGAGAAGACTGGTTCGAAAGCAAAAATGGTTTAGCATGTTTACAGTAATAGCATACAAATGGACTCGTGCATTGCTTCTCTTGAAAACTCAGAGGTCGTTCGACGTCAAACGAAAAATAGGAAGTTCTAGTCCCTTTCTTTACTTATTTGAAGAGATCTTAGGACTGCACTAGTACTGATGATTTTTTTCAAAAAGAATAAATCCTAAAGTGGAGTTAAATACTTCAACTAGTAATGTCAAGTAGTTGAATCGGATATGTCAGCTGAGAATATTATTGTAAAGGATAATTCGAAGTAACCGTAGACTTGGCCAATCTTAGCTTGCGAACAGACAGACGACTAAGATAGGGCCTGTTATATGTCAGAAGGTTGTTCCAATTAATACCCCAAGGATTAAACCAGGAGGATTAAAATACCTGTCTGCATTCTTTATAACTACTTGAAGTCGTATTTTGAAACTCTTGGGTAAAGTGCTAGATGAGATAAGACCTCCCTACCCTCTCCTCCCCTCCCCCTCCTCTCCCT